GGCTGGGAGAAATATCAACAACCTCAGATATGCAGATGATACCACTCTAATGGCAGAAAGTGAAGAGGAACTAAAGAGCCTCTTGATGAGGGTGAAGGAGGAGAGCACAAAAGTTGGCTTGAAACTCAACATTAAGAAAACTAAGATCATGGCATCCAGTCCTCTCACTTCCTGGCAAATAGATAGGGAAGAAATGGAGGTAGTGACAGATTTTATTTTCCTGGGCTCCAAGATCACAACAGACGGGGACTGCAGCCAAGAAATGAAAAGACGCTTACTCCTGGTGAGGAAAGCTACGGCAAATCTAGACAGCATACTAAAAAACAAAGACATCACCCTGCCAACAAAAGTGCGTATAGTCAAGGCCATGGTTTTCCCAGTTGCAATGTATGGCTGTGAAAGTTGGACCATAAGGAAGGCTGAGCACCAAAGAATTGAGGCCTTTGAATTGTGGTGCTGGCGGAGACTCCTGTGAATCCCTTGGACCGCAAGGCGATCAAACCGGTCAGTCCTAGAGGAGATCAACCCTGACTGCTCTTTAGAAGGCCAGATACTGAAGATGAAACTCAAATACTTTGGCCACCTAATGAGAAAGAAGGACTCCCTGGAGAAGAGCCTAATGCTGGGAACGATAGATGGCAAAAGAAGAAGGGGACCGCAGAGAATGAGGTGGCTGGATGGAGTATCTGAAGCAGTTGGTGTGAGCTTAAGTGGACTCGAGGGATGGTGGAGGACAGGAAGGCCTGGAGGAATGTTGTCCATGGAGTCACGATGGGTCGGGCACGACTTCACGACTAACAACAACAATTTTCTCTAGGATACCCTCCTGCAACTTACACCTTTAAAGTAGTGTAAACTGTCCATAAATATTAGCACAGCGGTATTGTAATATGGAATATCTCGATAAGAAATTCATCTCCATTATTAATGATTGTGTACATAAACATGTATAAAGGACATAAGCATGAAATGAGAAATGTCCTTGCCTCTTACAGCCCTTGCTAATCAAAATCATTTATTACAGGAATGACTGCACCCTGTCCCATACTATTAACAATTTTAGGGTTCCAAATTTACCAAGAGGAAGGACATGAGTAATGAATTTTTGTCATCAACTAACCGTAACCCAGGTTGCTCTGCAACTAATGAGGAGGGAATATGGAGATGCAACCAGCAGGATTTACCTAGCCCTGTTCCATTCAATCACAAGGCATATATCCAATTCAACTGCTGTCATTAAGAACTAGTATAAAACTAGTTCCTTATTTTTTTAAAAAAATGCATGGACATATAGGGCTGTAATCTAGAATTACATGTGTAAAGTTACTTATGTTCCAATGTTTGATTCAGCGTAAAGAAATACTCCATTCAGGTAAGGAAATACTCCATTTCAGGTAAAGAAATACTCCATTCTCCTAACCATCCTCTCAATTTCAAACTCACACAAGCAAGAGAGACAGGCTACTATATCAGAACATATGCATAACCATGCTAAATATGCATACATCTGTGTATAGAAAAAGATGGAACTGCACTAAGTATGCTAGTTGTTTCCTATGAGCAAAAAGGTGCTTTAAGTAGCTATTTCTGACCTGGAAAGTCAAAAGCTCTTCTACCTTACAGTGGGTTTGTTTTGAAGCCCAGATATCTTCAAGAGGTACAAACTGGCTTTGACAGGATCTCTTATTTCCTAAGAATGCTAAGCAAGCACTGCCTTTATTTACAGCACAAGACTTTCCATAAAAGGAAAAGTGTTTCAGCTGGAGAGACACTGTTTAGCTTCAGCTTCCAAACAAAATTAAACAACATGTAATCTCACTCCATCATTAATCGATTCCTATATATATTTAGCTTCTTGAAACAGCGGAAACCCCAAATGCTGCCAAATTTCCTCTTTTAACTCATGTTTTCAGCCCAAAATCAAGGTAATTTAATATTTGTTGCCCTTTCTCAAAGCTGGCTGAAACAGACACACACACAATAGTCACCTCCCAGTTAACACAGGAAAAGCCACACGATAACAAACTGGCAGGCTACTATCACACCACCTTTTTCAACCTGTCCAATTGACCAACCAAGTGATCACAAAAGGTGGGCTCACAGGACACACTAAACCCTTGGGAGTTTTAACCAACTAAAATTGATTAAAGTTGATTGTGCTGTGGTCAAAATTCCCCTGTGCCCAACTAATAATCTGGCACGGTAGAGGCAGGATGCATCCTTCTCCCACATTTGGTCCTCCTGCAGTAACCCAAGAGCCACTGTGAGAGTGTTAAGATGTCCCCTGAACTGTGGCAAGCCATCTAGTGCTTGTCACAGCTTGACTTGCATTTTTTAAAAAATCATGAAAGGCTGTTTGCATTATCCTGCTTTAGGATGTGTCTCCACACAAGGAATCCCAGCATAATCACCCACTGTTTTTAAAACAGTTTTAAAAATCCAATTTTGAGCATGACCAGGTACACTCACTATGGAAGGTCTTTTAAAAACACAAAGAAAGAACAGTGGTTTCATCATGGACAGGTACTGGGAAGGCTGGGTGCCTGCTACTGAAAATCCCACAGGCACCAGCCCCATTACCTATTTTCCCACTGGGCTGCCAGTAATTATTCCTCCTGCACTCCTGTGCACAGAGCCAACATGACAAAGAATGACAGGTTGGCTCCTTGCACAGCCATGAGAGACCACAATTCATGGAAAGGGGCTACTGCCTATTTGGATATGAATGGTAAAACTGAGTGGACAGGTGGGGCTCTCCAGGATCCTCCAAATCCCTAGGAATCCTGCTTGGAGGGAGGAATTGAGGAGATGTCCTACAAAACATCCTTGTTAATTGCCACCCCAAGAACCAAAAGAACCTGCTGTAAGGGGTGTTTTGCGCTACCCCCTTGTATTATATCTATGTAAAATATGAAAAAGACAACATTGGGCTACAAATTGGGCAACAAATGGACAAGCCAAGTTGCAGAAATGCTAAATGGCTCAATGCAGGAAGGAGGGGAAGGCTTTCCCAGCCAAAGCAGTTGTATACCAAGTCCCTCAGCTAGAGCTGCAA